CATCCGGTCACATGGGTGGCAAGCCACTCCCACAAAGGAGGCCACACCTACAGAGTAGGTTCGAACAATTTTTGAAACCCACCACTGCATTGGACCCTAACTGTTGCAATCCTAAATCAACATCTCTTCCTTGTCTTTTACCTCAAAAGTCTTGTTGTCCATGTGACGCAACTGAATACATTCGTTAAAGGTGATATTAAGAAGCCCATGGGTTACATTCACTTGCACTTTCTGAGGATAGGGTCCCTGGAAGATTATACTTTTTTCCCCGTAAGCCACTGCCAGTGCTCCAAGATGCAACCTGTAGGCCACAGTCCGCTTATCCCGAGGATGGATGCTGAAGGACAAAGAAAAGGGAAGAGAAGATTCAATTGGAACTCAGGCCCTTTTCTTTTTCATGCTCATATTTTAAAAGGCTGCCCAGCTGACAGCTTTCGATATTATAAATGAAAACTGCAAGTAAAGGCGCCATTTCAAGAAGAACAAGAAGTCTGAATAGATATCAGAGCTGCTTGGTAGAGAGATAGATGGCATACACATTTAATAAATGCCAGCCAAAGGCTTGTAGAGCCCATCTCCTGTCGTTCTTGTCTTGTCTTTTTCTATTTATAATCTGCCACCTCTCTCTCTCTTTTCTTCAGTCCTCCTCTCCTTGTTGAGAGTCAATCTTAGCCTTGGGACATTATAAACTATAGTGCAATTGCTTTTTTGCCATAAATGGACAAAATCCATTTAATCAGATGATAAGAAGTTTAGCCCACAACAGATTGCACCCAGATAAATTTGTTAAATCCTTAAGATGACCTAAGAGCTTTTAGCACTTTTGCTAGGGTAGGGTAACAGTCCCTTTTTTGAGAACCGCCAATGAGTACTACCTATCTATTACTAGATCAGAGGTCTCCAATCTTGGCGACTTTTAAGACTTGTGGACTTCAATTCCTAGAATTCCCCAGCCAGACATGGTGGCTGGGGAATTTTGGGAGTTGAAGTCCACAAGTCTTAAATGTTGTCACCCCGTAGCCTGCTCCTCCAGTCTCAGCTGTGCTTCTAATCAACAGACACCCACCCTTCTTTCAACCAGCTTTGGTTCCCCCCTCCAAATCAATGTCACAGTCTCCTTTTCTGTTTTCTCATCTACTTTTTTCTCCTCCCACGTACACGTCACTTATTTCTTCACACATTCCACCTCCTTGTTTCTCCCTCTCCCTATGAGGCTGTCATCTTTGACTCCCTCTACTAAGACTGATGTGACCACAATGGAGTATCAGTTTTCAAAGGAAACAGAAGCATTTTCTTTAACGAGAGAAGAAAACCTCCAGGAGATTAGAGGACAGATCTCAAGCGATATCAAAATGTACCTGCCATAAGGAGATTCATTATCGCCAAGATCTATGGTAACAGCCATGAAAGTATTGGACATTCTCTTATTAGGGACATAGCCGTAGTCCGCAGTTTGATGCCACCGAATACGTGGAAATTTGTCGTTTATCTGCACATGCAGATATGTGCATAACTGAAAGTGGGTAAAGAATGGAGATCTTCAAGAAAAGGTAGCCATGGATTTCACAACTTGCTATTCTAGTCAGTCCCTACTCAACTTGAAAGTTCCTCATACAAATCATGGACAGAATAGCTGTGGAAGACCTGATCTTTACTCTTAATAACCATCATTCACTCAGTTATAGCAATAGCAATAGCAGTTAGACTTATATACCGCTTCAGCCCTCTCTAAGCGGTTTACAGAGTCAACATATTGCCCCCACAGTCTGGGTCCTCATTTCACCCACCTCGGAAGGATGGAAGGCTGAGTCANTGTGGACTTCAACTTCCAGAATTCCCCAGCCAGCCACTGAACTAAGGCGAAGTGCCCATCGACCTGAGTGACATTGACTTGGCCACGCCCACACGATCACATGATCACCGAGCCCCGCCTACCCAGCTGGTCGTTAGGGCAGAGAACCGGTTGGTAAATTATTTGAATCCCACCACTGGTTGGGACCCTTTTGGGGGTCGAACGAATGACCCTTTCATAGGGGTCGCCTAGGAACATTGGAAAACACATATTTTTGAAAAAATATGGAAAACATAAAATAATTTTATGATTGGGTGTCACCACAACATGAAGAACTGTATTAAAGGGTCACGGCATTAGGAAGGTTGAGAACCACTGGATTAGAGGAACTTGTGCAAGAAAATATATTATTATAATTCATTAAAGCTTGCCATTGCTGAATGCCTCTTAACAGGATGGCAAGTATATGATGGTTTAGTATGTTGCTTCCTACACAGCACAGGATAGCAGGCAACACTTTCAGAATTTGGGCTGAAATTCATTCTTTCTGATGCTGTTTCTCCCTTCCTCTTGCCCAATGTTTTTTAACCTCAGCAACTTTAAGATGTGCTGGCTGGGGTATTCTGGGAGTTGAAGTCCACGCATCTTAAAGTTGCTGAGGTTAAGAAACACTGCTCTAGCCCCATCTTTTCTTTCTCTAACTTTTAACAAGGCCATGTATGCTGCACACATACATATAGGCTTAGCAGCTACGTATAAATAAATGGCAAGCAGGCTATAATTCGAGGCATAGAGAATCCTCCTGCATTCGGATAGCTAACTAGATGCATTGGACCAGAGGTGGGTTCCTACCAGTTCGCACCTATTCGGTAGAACCGGTTCGTCAAATCTACCGAACCGGTTAGAAGAGTTTCCACCAGTGGGCCCGGAAAGCAGGCCACACCTACAGAAAAGGTTCCAAATTTTTTTGAAACCCACCACTTGTCCTTGGATATAATTATTCTACACTGTCATGCTCATATTTATAAAACTCAGTGCCTCTGTGAAAGGTAAGGATGACTACTGCGTTTGTGGTGCAACCCGAACATTGCGTGTGTT